AAGGGCGAAATCCGCCATTTATTCACTGCCCTAGGGAATTTTTGAATGAAACACGAACGTAATTGCAACGCCCTCTAGCAGTGTACCAATCATCGAGAACGAGAACTCTATTCTCTATTATTTATGAGAAAAAAGTGTTCTGTCAATAGTAAACCACCTCAACTGGAACGAAACGTATTTGTCACTTTTCATTGCTATATTCAAAGTTCCTCAATCTCCAGATCTCCTTGGCATATTGCTCTTCAATTACATTGTCAATTTTTGAGTCGAGAAAGCTCTTTGCTCATGCATTATGGTTAACCGCATGAGATTTCAGAAGATATTTTTGTCTTCACATTCTTTTGATTTTTTTACTAACATTTTTATGTTTATGTTCAGATTTTCGTATTTTTTTCATTTTGAACTTCGCTAATTAAGCCTATATAAATTTTTTTGCATTGCATTTCCAATTTTTAGGCCTCAAAATGAAACTCTGCTTATATTATTTCCGTAAGTCAACCTGCTTCAGTGTTTGTTGATTGTTGCCATAATTTATTTTGTCAGGGTGGTTTGTGAGAGTTTCTCAGCGTGCGACTATGATGTAGATACTACTGCGTATTAGCAAAGTCGGTGGTGGATTAACGCAGTGGTAAATGATGCAGTATGTAACGAACCAAGACGCTCATTCTATCTCCTCTCCCAACACTCTCTTAACCAACTAACGTGCGTCTTAGGGAGCGCCTGAGCTCGACTACCTCCAAGATTGCAAAAAAAATTGTCTAGATAGCATTTCATGGCTTTTGCGAAGAAGACAATATTCTCAAGCAGTAGCCAATGAGACGCTTGATATGTTCGAATGTCATGCGATGAATGCGAGGAAACGCATCAAATACAAGAAGTGGTGGGACCGCACGGTAAAATGTAATGATATGTTGTGCAAAATAAGTTCAAATAAAAAATAGCAGTCTCTCAAACTCAAAGCTCTAGTGTATTCATATGTAAAGTCGGCCGAGAAAATATATCCTAAGAGCTGATTCCGTGCCGAACGGAGCTTTTCTCTGCTCAATAGATTCGCAGTACCCATGCCGCTGATATCAATTCGTAAAAAGAAAACGCAGTTTCATCAGAATTCTTTAAAAAAAGGAAAGAAACTCAATCACTCCCTAATAAATACGGCTGTCGGCTTGAAAATCGAGGAGGCGTGATATGCAAGTATCTAATAAAGTAATGCAAGTAAGTAACTTTTTCCATTTCTTTTGTTTTTGTGCAAGTTGAGTGCTTTGGAACTGCTATTCTCATCCTAGATAATTAAAGTAATTCAAAAGTGTTCTCTAGCAATGCTCGTTTTTTTTTCTCACTCTTCTAACCAACATATTCATTTTTGCGGATATATTATATAACGGCAAGCCTTCTGCTTTCTCAAAATGATTTTCAATGCAATTTAAGCCACATTATTACTAATGTTCTCATTCTGACTTTCGATTTGATGTTAGTGTAGTGCAGACGTAATCTGCCTCTCCGGTAATAACTTATCACTTATCGAGCCACTCACTCTGATCTTTTTTCTTCTTTTTTTCCATAAACTTGCACATAACTCTGTGCGTTAAATTGACACTATTTGATTGCATTTGACTTAGCCCAAACATAAGTGGCTGTATAGGATGTGGATTGTAATCTAGCTCATCGTGTTTCTGACTTCAGCTGTCTTAGATGGCTCTAAGTCTTTTGCATTCATTTAAAGCTCAAAAATTCCAGACATATTTTCTGTAAAGTCCTTGCTTGACTCCGTTAATGCCTCCAAATGATCGTCATCATTGACAGCATGTCGTTATTCAGCATATTCTCACGTTGCGAAACTAATTTCAGAGCTGTGTCGTAAGACCATAAACGACTTGATATAACGAGTAATGTAGATGTTCTGAACGTTATTCGTGGTCTAGCGCTCATCTTTGACTCTATCGAAAGGAATTTATACTAAACACAGATTGAAATGAAGGTTGTACGCTTAATGATTATCGACCTTTTAGAATACTTCATGATTTCATGTGCATTCTTCTCATCGTAGGCGTCACTAACTATATAATTGGTTCGAGCAATAATTTGTAGCTCTTGTGAAAATATCGAATCAGTGCTGTTCCTTGCTTGGACAGGCTTACAGACCCTGGGGGAGGGGTGCAAAGGGTCAATGGGATCAGAACGTATTATCGGACTTCGTATATACTGCATAGTTCCACTAATCACTACGATACGCGGTGCGCCCGCATGAATTCAGATAAAATAAAAAAACTGGCATGAATATATGGACTATTACTGCCCTTGAAAACGAAATAGCTAAAAAATTCCATGAACGAATCGCGTTTTCACTTAATGGGAGTGATCTCGATACCAACTCATTCAATGCCTCCGAGTGTATTGATGTGAAAATACTATGCGATATTTTTTCTCGTTTAAACCATTGAATTCTTGATGCAAGGAAAAAAATTGACTATTGTGCTGTGTTATATATGGCATTGAAATAGATGGCCGCTTTCAGATTCTCTTTCGTCAATTTCCAGTTAATAGTACATTCTGTTGATTTTTTGAAGAATGCTGAAGAGCTCTCCTACTTTATCTTTTCAAAACTACTCCTCCAAGTGTTTGCCGCTTGCGTTTCAATTTCCTGCTACCGATACTTTTCGTTTTTGTGTGATTTTCAAAGTTTTCTCTCCAATTTTCCTTCTTTCAACTGTATTTTTCTTAGTTTCATACTCTGTTATGAGCACGTTGAATCCTTATTGTAATCGCACATTTTGCTCCACTAAGAAACCTTTGCTGCTTCAAATTTTTTTGCCTTTTACTTTCGAAATGTGAACACAAATTTATTAATTCAGGAAAGTGTTTCATGTTATGGTCGAAAGCGAAAGCCGATCTGTAAATTCTGAGTGGGATAATCTTTCACTGGATGAGTCGTCGTCTTTAACGGTGTGTTCTGAATATCTATCTAAGTCTTCATTCTTCAGTAACCCATTATAATAAATGGCATAATGATGCACTTCGCAGGACCTAAGAAATGAGTCCATTTATATACAAAAGAATCCATATGCAAAGGTGGGTGGAGCTGAAAAGATACAGACGCTTAGCAATTCATTCGAGGTCACAGTTTCGATTTCACGAGGCAAACAGAGCCTTTATTTTTGACATATTATAAATTTGAGATAGCATTTGCCTGAAAGATGAAATCACTTGAGTCTTCAATAACATCTCGTGCTATCCCGTGAGAAAAATATACATTCAATGACCTTGTAATGTGATGGGTTGGATCGAATTTGTCGGGCATCCTTCTCCTTTCGTTGAAAAAAAAAAAGCATCTCGTCCGTTTACCCTTAGAAACTATTCTATGACGAAAGCTTTGTCCTATGTACATATGCATTGAGTTGTCCCATAATTTCTTCCGCAGTCCGACACTTTCCTCTCAACCATTGTTTATCAATAACCAATCACCATCACAATCCATAATACGTAATCACTTGCTGGGTGAAGATTGAAAGTCTTTCTCCCAGAAAGAATAAGGTTAGCGCTAAAAGAAGTCGGTGAGGTTATCTTTGAGCTGGCTCGAGCCTTTCAATTTTTCTTTTCCCACTCATGCTGATTCTGGGCTTCAAGAGATGATAATTGATATGCAATATTAGAGCTATACAGTGGGTGTAGTAGTGTGAATCAGCCCAACTTATTCAGAATTTGGTGAATTGACTTTGCAGCGGACCTGGCAGAGCGTTATTCTGGACAAAGGAGACAGAGATTCGTCACGAACGTTTCTCTTGCATTACTGCCGCCAACTTGCGAAGTTTTCCAAGCAAACATCGTCATTTCTTCTACTTATTGTCAGCCAGCTCACAAAATAGTATTCCCTGCTAACCATAGAAATCGAGAGGATAAATTTTTGAGCATGTATGAGGTATTCATCGAGACATCATTATGCAGAGATGACGAGCGATGGTCCTACGGTTACATTAAAGTGTTACTAGAACTAAGAGAATTGAGTGGTGAACAAAAACACGGCCTCAAGCGGGAATCGAACCCACGTTTCATCCTATCCGGGAACGCGTGCTCTACCACTACACCACTGAGGCACATTTGCCCGACCACTCATTCTTCAACATCTCAATGTTAGCTATCAGCCACCAACCTTTAACAGGTTTGGTCGGGTATGCGATTTCGCTTTATAAACCCAGTTGAGCTGACAGCTATTCTATTTACTTTTTCTATTTTTTCTCTATTCTTATTTCCCGCCTGAGGCCGTGTTTTTGTTCACCACTCAATTCTCTTAGTTATATAAGTGACGTAATAACACTGCGAAAAAAGCAGTGAAAATAATATAATTTCGAAGTGTTACTAGAACATTATCCAACATAACACATCTCTTGGCACTTACCCAGTCTGAAATAGCAAAAAAAAAAAGCATTACAAAACGGTGTGTGAATGGAATTATGGAGCAACCCTTCATATATTTTCAAGAAAAAATCAGCCAATCTATTTATACTTGCATATGTAAGCAAATGAATAAATAAGCCCAGTTAAGTAAAGTGATGTACAAAGACTTTTTGCCAAAGACCTGGAATTAAAACCTAAGTTTCAGCCTATCTGGGGAAACGTGCTCGACCGGCGCACTATCGAATTCCGGTTGACACCACTCCACTTTTTCTACGCTACAACGCGTCTATCTGTCAGCAGCCAACCGTCAACGGTCTGGAGTGGGTAGTGCGATAGGGTGAAATGTGTGTTCGAATTCCAACTGACGCAAAAAGTTTTACACATCACTATACTTCATTGGGTATATTGTAACATACACCACCGCTAAAAAGCGGTCTAATAAAAATAATTTTGTTCGATCATCAATACCCAATATCAGCCAGCATAAGTGGGTTCAGTGTCGATGGCGGCTACCTATTCCGTACCGCTGACGGTTAGAGGCATTGTAGCGTAAAAATAGTGGTGCTGACAGATAGACGCATTGTAGCGTAGAAAGAGTGGTGTCAAAACGGGTGTTGGTAGTGCAGCGGTTGAGCACGCACCCCCTGAATAGGGCGAATTGTGGGTTCGAATCCCACTTGACGCAAGAAATGCTTACAATTATTCTACTTCACTGGGCTTATTTATTTATTTGCTTCTATATATATGTATGCATATTGTAATATCATACCACCACTAAAAGTGGTCAAATAAAAAATATATATACTGTAATATCATACCACTTGAAGCGCTCAAATAAAAACAACTCTGATTGATCATAAATTAGTGGATATATAGATATACATATACAGTGAGTTGTGACGGTTGTCACGGCGCGCGTGAGGCCGAACCCAGCTTCCCAATATTCTCTGGCAATCAACAATGAAAGCCCTATGGAGTGCCACAGCTAAGCTGTCTTGCAGGTCACAAGGAGACGCGCTCAACCAGTATTTTACACTGTTCATGAAGAAGACGAAAATACCATTGAATAATAGAAATTTAGGATCCGTAAAGTGAAAAAAAGATATATATATATATATATCTTTTTATTATATATACTGAAGTTTATATATATAATTATATATATATATATAAACTATTATTAATTATAAATATTATTAATTAATAAATAATAATATTAATATTATTATTTTTATTAATTATTACTATTATTATTACTACTATTAATTATTATATTATTATTATTATTATTAACTATTATTAATTATATTATATAATTATATATATAGTTTAGTTTTTTTATATATATATTGAAGTTTCGCGAGAGTACAAACAACCACTCTGTCTCACTTTTATCGATCTGGAAAAAGCCTTTGATTCAGTGGAAACAGAAGCGGTTATAGAGGCTCTGGATAACCAGGGCGTCCCTACTCGGTGCATAATGATCCTTCGTGAGCTTTATAAAGATTTCACGACCAGAATATCTCCATTCTACAACAATATCACCATTGACGTAAGAAGAGGGGTTCGACAAGGCGATACAATATCGCCAAAACTATTCACTGCCACCCTACAAAACGTCATGCGAACATTAGAATGGGACGACATGGGAGTGAAAATTGACGGTCGACACTTAAACCATCTTCGCTTTGCTGACGATATCGTTCTCATAACACCAAACATCAGCCAAGCGGAACGAATGTTGACTGATTTCGATAACGCCTGTGGAAAGATCGGTCTTCAACTGAATATAACGAAAACAATGTTCATGAGGAATGGATGGGTTTCTAATGCCCCATTCACGCTCAACGGAACGACAATTTCCGAATGCTCCAGTTACATCTATCTAGGTCGTGAAATCAACATGATGAACGACCTAGCCCCAGAGTTGAGCAGGAGGAAACGAGCGGCTTGGGGAACGTTTAAGAGCATCGAAGATGTAGTGAAGAGGACAAAGAACATCCGACTCCGTGCCCACCTTTTCGACTCGACAATTATCCCTGCCCTAACGTATGCAGCAGAAACCTGGTCGCTACGTAAGCAGGATGAAAGATCACTTGCCGTTATCGAACGCGCAGTCGAAAGGTCGATGCTAGGAGTATCTCGTATTTCGCAAATGAGACAAAGGATCCGAACTTCCGACCTACGTCAACGATCGAAAATCAGGGACGCCGTTCTACACGCCAGGATATCGAAAATAAGGTGGGCCGGACACGTGATGCGCTTCAACGACAACCGATGGACGAGAGCCGTTACCGACTGGATTCCTCGGGACGTCAAGCGCTCTAAAGGAAGACCACTGACCCGTTGGTCCGATTTCTTCACGAAAGCGATGGAAGAAAGATATGATGCTCAGCGAATTCCTAGAGCAAGGAGGACCCACTGGGCTACTCTTGCACGCGATAGGGGAAAATGGAAGAGTTGCTGGTACCCGCTCGAGTCACTCGACGATCAACGGGACGACAGGTGATACAGGTGATATATATATATATATATATATATATATATATATCACGGGCGCGTGTGGTGAAGTGGTTTAGAAGTGTGCTGTGAAACACGCGGTCCATGGTTCGCTTGTTGCCGAGGTCTCACCAAGCCTTCTATCCCTTCATGGTTGGCGAATTGATACTAGTCTTCTTTACAAGGATAGCAACACTAATTTAATAGGTCGATATGCCACAGCGAATCATTGTAAGGGCAAAATATGCATTCAATACTTGAATGATACTTGATAAACTCGAATGCATGGCGCATAGTTCAGAGATTGATCAACTCCTATATATATATATATATATATATATATATATATATATATATATATATATATATATATATATTATATATATATATATATATAATATATATATAATATATAGCCGTATTAACGCTAGCTGCATAGGATAATCGTCTCTCTACCTGGGTCAACATTGTACTGAAAGCTTTTTCTTTCGAATTTGTTGCTCATTTGATGATTTCGCTTATGGCTGTATCTCTTAAAGACCATATAATCCTAATATTGTCTGAAGTACATGCCAGAGCCATTTAACTCGTTGTGCTCCAGTTTGTTTATTTGATAAATGACGATTACAACGCTACAAATTTTCCTTCGGGTAGTGAGGCATTCGTGTAGTAAGAACATCCGCCTCCGTGCCTAGCATCTCGACTATGCGGTTATTCCTCCTCTAAACGTATGCAGCGTAAACCTGGTGGCTGCATATGCAAGATAAAAGATCACTTGGCGTCATTGAACGCGCAGTCGAATCGATGTTAGGAGCATCTCGTCTCTCACAAATGAGAGAAAGGATCCGAAGTTCTGACCTACGTCAACGACCAAGAATCAAAGATGCCGCTCTGCACTCAAGGCTATCGAAGAGATAAAGTGGTCAGGATACGCAGTGTGCATAAACGACAACTGATGGGCTGGAGTCGTTGCCGACTGGACTTTTCAAGATGTCAAGCTCGCAATAAGAGAAAGATCAATAACACGATGATCTGATGTCTTCACGAAGACCTAGAAGAAAGACGTGATGAGTAACGAATTGAGCGAGGAGAACTTTCTGAGCTGCCCTTGTATGTGTGGGTAAAAAAGGAAATGTCGTTGGCGACCGCTCTAGTTTTTCGACGATCAGTGGAACGACAGGTGATACAGGTGAAGCAACTGAGTCATTAAGTTCGACCATTTCACGATTAATTGATAATTAAGTTCGACCATTTCACGATTAATTGATAAAGTTTGTGTATCTATGTAGAGCACCTCATCTAAAACTGCTATAGTGATACTTAAAGTTACTCTTTGAATGCTATGGAAGCACAAAACAGCTTATTGTTTTTTAAGCGTACTAATGGAATCGATATACCGCAAATAATACGCACATCGCCAGCTTCTTCGGCCGATCACAAAACGAGTGAGTACTACAAGCATTTGTTCACACTAGTTAATTTTGCAAAAAAATGAAGGGAAAGGTAAGACGTTTTTGAACTGCAATTATTTGATTGTATTACTACTTTCGTAATGAAGGTAACATGTGTATTGTATTTCCTCATCAGTTAAGATATGAATATTATAGACTGACAGAGAAAATGATTATGAAGGGATAAAGACAAATTCTTCTTTGTCTGTTTCCTTGTCTAATCATGGTCTCTTGTTTCAAAGGGAATAAGGAATATTTTTCAAGCGGTCATCGAGTTCCTGATACTTTTGTGCTCTAGTATCTTTTAGGATTCTAACAAATGTAATTAACCAGAAGACTTTTAATTGTAGAAATGGACTCTAAGAATATTGACTGTGCTTTTCATTAGGCTGTCATTTTGATCTGAATGCTTTTGAAAAGGCGATCTGGCAAGAGACAATTGATCTTCTCACCATATCCTGAGTTCTTTTTTTTTGCTTTTACTTTTTTTTATACTACTTTGCGTTGATCAATATATTCTTTCTATTCAAAATTTTGATAACGCTACGGCTTATTTTGATTTTTTTTCTGAGCTGAACGTCACTGAGCGTTCCTATGTCGTTCATCGCCTATTGACGAAAATTTAGCGAAATAAAATTGCTCAGAAGAAACAAATCACTATCAACGGGTAATTGTCACAAACGCCATCATGTAATTAAGGACATCACCAAAAGAGGCCTTCATTGGAGCAGTGCTCCAGTTAAGAAGATCTGACTTAAACGATAACGAAGACGAGCGATTGTGGATAATCGACTCAGATCATCGGATCTGGAGCAGATGAAAATTGTTTGACGAATAAAGCATTGGCAATATAGAATCCATTTATCAGCACCGTAATATTAAAAATCATTAAAAGAACTATTAATTGACGAATCATTTGATTTCAAGTTTGCTGGCTAACACCCAGTATATACTTTCAGCCTAGAGCTTGTCTTTGTATTTTCTTGAATAATCTTTACCTAAATTCTTCTGAGTAAGTTTGAGAAATCAACTCATTAACGCTGTTCAATATACTGATGAATGAAGCATGAAAGTATGTCTATTAACGAATCAAGACAATCTGAAAAGGCGATGAGTTTTTCCTTTCAAATTGAGACTGGTTTTCTTGTAACGCTACTGTAGCACTACGTTTCTAAGATTTTTTTCTTACCCACTTTATCGTACTTATGATATTGCGAAACGTATGCGGTTGCACCACCATGAAAGATTGGCCTTTTCAAAGTTGTGCAGTCAAGTCCAGCGATTTTCCTATATATGGCTCATTTACCAATAAAGTAACGGTGAGAGAAAGAATACAAAATCTTGAATAAATTTGTTTTCTTTCCCTTTGTTGCTGGGAGCTCTTTTTTCGAGTGAATATTGAAAATGTGTAAAGAACTTGTCGAAAAGTACAGTGAGAATTTAGCATTCAGTGTCATAAAAGAACGGAGAAGTGTTTACCACGATAATTCTAATAATGAACAGATAATTACCGCGTCCTTTGATGTTTCATAGGAGACAGCATCCGATTTGTGCTGGAAGTTTAGCCTAGGTCTAAACCGACAGATATGCCAACGACTTATATGCTTAGATACTCATCTGCACAAAAATTTGAGCTTCTTTATCTATCGTGAAAGTTGTCACTGAAGGTGTTTGCGAGGAGCATTTAAACACTGAATGGTTTCAGTCAAGTAAAACTCTTCAAATGTTTGTGAAA